GCCAGTTGGGACCATGTTGGGTTTGTGTTACTGTTCTCCGAGAGCGGCCAAGGGTCAGCTCCTTTGGTCTGCCTGGGGGGGGGGGGAGGAAAGGGGGGGGGGTTTAAAAAAGCGAGGCTCCGCCCCCCCCCCCCCAGCTCTGCTGATTCAAAACCCACCTGGAGGAGGAAGAGCCTCGGAGGATTCCCACGAGGCGTGAGAGACGCTGGTCTAGAAAGCTCGCCGGAGAGGATGCCGAGTTTCACCTGAGCTTTTGGGAGCCACAGGCAGGTGCGCCCCGAAGGCCCTGTTCTCCGGCCAGTGAAGACCTGGGGTGTGTCCTCCCCGCCATCCCCGCCTCCTGCCGCACCTCCCCTCACAGCGCTGGGGGCCGGGGGTGTTTCCACGCTCCCTTGTTCTTCTCCTCTTAGGCACCGGCTGGCCGCCCCCCGCCACTTTCCGCCAGGCTGTCCCATAGCTTCATTTAGGGGCGCGTGCGCCTGGGGGGTGGACACCCTCATACCGGAGGGCGGGTAAATGACCTTAACGCCGACTGACTCATTGTCCCAGGAGGCAAGGGGGAACCACATCCAGCTCTGGGGTGAACACGCAGAAACATTAAAAGGGGTCACAAGGGGAAGAGAGAAAGCAGGTCACGCACCTGCCAGGCGAGCTGGCTGATCTCCCCTCCCAAGAGGGATGTGCCAGGAGCTGGGCCGAGTCACCCTACCCTCCTGGCCAACTTCACCGGAAAGGCTGAGCGTCCCCCTCCGCGTGGGGTAAACTGTGGCTTGTTCGTTCTGCCGCCCTTTGCAAGTTCGGAGGGGAGACCCTTGTGTGGTTATAGAAAGAGCCTGGTTTCAGAGGAACAGTCGTCTCCTTCCCCCATGTTAGGCTAAGGGTCGCTGTAGGGCAAGGAAGTGGCCCAGCTCTGTCCGGAAGGAGGGCTTGATGGCAGAGGAATCCACGGCACGGCAAAGGCACAACCCCTTATTGGTGGTGTCAGGGGTCCCGGCTTGTTTCATCCGCACACTGGACATTCCATCCTCCATGGAGTGCTCAGGGAGGGGGGCGAGAATGGCCCCTGCGGCCCACCCGGGAGAGATCACATTCAAGGACGCTTCTGCCAAAATACTCTTTCTAATGTTTATTTATTTTTGAGAGAGAGAGAGAGTCAGAGCTCGAGTGGGGCAGAGAGAGAGGGAGACACAGAATCGGAAGCAGGCTCCAGGCTCCGAGCCATCAGCCCAGAGCCCGACGAGGGGCTCGAACCCACGAACCGCGAGATCGTGACCTGAGCCGAAGTCGGACGCTCAACTGACTGAGCCACCCAGGCGCCCCTAAAATACTCTCTTTCTGAGGTGAGCATTTCGGGGACAGACACAGCAGTGTCTGGGTAGACAGAGCTGACTGCTTGCTTTGGGACCCACTGCTCACAATAATGGCCATCACCCTGGAGGCTCCAGTTAACAAACATAGCTGTAAAAACATTCACGGAAACTTGCCTTTCCCGTCTTTGGAAATCTCGTTGTGAGCAATGCAGTTGAGTCCTTCCAACTAAGCAATCAGGGGGATGGATGGCTGGCCCTGGGGAGGGCTCAGCTTCAGAGGAGGAGGGAGTAAGGATGTACACTTTTCCCCCCTTAAACTCTGCCCAATTTCAAAACTGCGCCTCTAGAAACACCTGCCGTCATGCCGGTCGTGACCATCATCACAGTAGCTGAGGGGTATTGGCGGTTCAGTCAGAGGCGGTGGACCGAGCTCTCCTGCCGCAGGAGATGGTCAGCGCTGCACGAGTCAGGGTCTGTGGGGAGGGGTATGGTTTGCTCGTGGAGTCCGTGGGAACAGCGAAGGGGTGACCAGCCAACAGCTGGAGCCGCGTGGGACGAGGGGACCCTGTCGGGCACCTGTAGCTGCACCTCGCAAACCCAGCCTGTGCAAACGTCACTTATTCAAGTAGCCACGGTGGCCCAAAGCAGTGTCGATCCTGCTGGAAGTGGAGGGTGTTCCCCTGCGAAGCCAACGGGCTCCCTCACGCGTAGGTCATGTTTTTAAAAGAACAGAATTGCCAAATCTCCCCGACGTGGCGGCTTTCGACTTTTCACAGTGCCACGATGGTGATCTGAACCCTTCTGTGAGTTATTTGCGATGCTTCCCGCAGCTTAATAGAAACCAAACATTTACAAATAATAAGGCCACAGAGGCTCACTGAAATGGCCTGTTTCTTTTCACGAGCCTGGGACCTCGCCAGCCTGACGCTGTTTTTATCTGCGTTTACTGCTGTGAGTTATCGTGTCTGCTGCTACTGAGTTTTGTGTGCTCAGCTATGATTAATAAAAGGGGAGAATTTATTTGTTTTGCCTTAATGAAAGCAATCGGGTGGTGGATGTCATCTTTTAGCTCGTGAAGTCTGTGGGTAGAAATACTGCCTCAGGGCTCCTGGGTGATAAGAAGGAGTTGCCGGCCAAGCCACCGCCCTCCTCTCGGCCATCGGCTGTCACAGTTCCCGAACCCGGAGACGAACTCGCTCAGACCAGGAAGCAGAGAGACGGGAAGGGTCCCACACCTGCTCCCACACGGTTGAGGCACGTGTTCTGGAAAAACCTATTACTCAGATTTTTCTTATGTTTGTGCAGAGAACAGTTTGGGGGTTTTTGTTTCCACTGTAGCTTCCGTAACTCCGATTATAGAACCTGAGAAGGATAGCACAGGAAATTAACCATCAGATGATCCAACTTTATGGCCAGGGGTGCAAAGATCTTAAATATGTATTATTTATTAAAAATATAGCAAACCACCATCAAGTGAGTGTATTTGGGGGCTCCTGGGTGGCCCGGTTGGTTAAGCGTCAGGCTCTTGATTTCAGCTCAGGTCAGGATCTCATGGTTCGTGAGATAGAGCCCTGAGTTGGGATTCTCTCTCCCTCTCTCTCTGCCCCTCCCCTGCTCATGGTATCTCTCTCACTCTCTAAAAAAAATAAATAAATACACATTTAAGAAAAAAGGAAGATTTTTTTTTTAAAGCAAATGTATTTTAGGATGGTTCAGCCTTGGTAATTTCTACAAATGAATTTATTGTATTAATTTATCACAAAAATTTTTAAAAATATGATCATATCTATGGAAACCAAGAAAATTTTGCAAAATTCAACATCCTGATTTTTTTTAAGTATTTTGTTTTGTTTTTTATTTTATTTATTTATTTTTAATTTTTTTGATGTTTATTTATTTTTGAGAGAGAGAGAGAGAGACAGAGCATGAGCAGGGGAGGAGCAGAGAGAAAGGGAGACACAGAATCCAAAGTGGTTCCAAGCTCTGAGCTGTCAGCACAAGAGCCTGACGTGGGGCTTGAACTCACAAACTGTGAGATCGTGACCTGAGCCAAAGTTGGATGCTTAACCAACTGAGCTGCCCAGGTGCCCGTTTTGCTTTTTATTTTAGAGAGAGAGAGAGTGTGTGAGCAGGGGAGAGAGGCACAGGGAAAGAGAGAGAGAGAGAGAGAGAGAGAGAGAGAGAGAGAGAG